TTTGGTTTTAGTTCTCATTACCCTACTCTGATTTGATTGGCAATAAATTAAATTAATTTTTTCCAAGTCAAGTCTGTTTTGCCCGTGATGGTAATTGGTGAGTGATCTCTCCCTCTCCTTATCCTGACCCATGAGCCTTTCGTTATATTTTCTCTCCCTGTTCAGCTGAGGAAGGGAGTGATAGAGCAGCTTTGGTGGGCACCTGGCATCTAGCCAAGGTCAACCCACCACAGTGTCTTTTTTTTTTTTTTTTTAAACAAACTGCAACAACTCTGGCTCTCTTTGATATATGTTGCCTTTATTTTGTATTTCTTATGTCAAGTCTAGCATGCTGCTACTCTATGTTCCCTTTATAAAAGAAACCATTAGGGAAAATAGGAACTAGTGATCAAATAAAAATATGACATAAAACCCTAGAATATACTTAAAGCTTCTTTGAAAAGCTATCTGAAAAATATTAAATATTGACTGGATTTGGGGTTTTTTGGTGAAATTAAATTTTAAGGATCATATTTTAAAAACTGAAATCACATCATGGAGAACAGACAGACCATAAAATATGGTACAGGATAGGAGTATATCCTGACAAGGATTAGTGAAGCACTGGGGAATGTTAGTGCTTAGTTCGTATTGTGCAAGCATTATGTAATGTATCTTTAAAAGGTTTGGCAGTATAAAAGCAGGTAAGCCTGATTTTTAGAGAATTAGCAGGGAACATACTGCGAATAGTTTGTTCATGGCTGTGGAATTCAGTTTCCCTGTTTACAGATCTCAGTTGTGCTTTTCATTTTCATAGTGACTTGCACCTCATGTTCTGTGAATTCTCCACAAATGTTGCTGGTTGAGTAATGGAAGTATTTGTGAACTTGTTTTTCAGTTTGAAATCAGCTTTTGAGGTACATGTGTTTTACAGTCTGTTGGCTCCTTGTGTAATCAACCAACAGGGAAGTCAAGCTTTATTGTGAAAAGTGAATTTTGATGGCTTTGTACTATACTTTTTGCACTGAAGGAAGGGCAGGCTGACCCAGCCCTGTCTTACTGGGATTATCAGTATGAGTGGGCTTGCACAGGCTGTGGATTTATTTTTTTTTAATCGCTATCCAAATGTTACTTATCGTAACATACATAGCATGGAAATAACTTTACAGAGGTAACAAGGAACTAACCATCTTCCTTTCTTCTTCTCTCTGTAGTTTGTTGCTCAGCCCAACTGCCAGCAGCTGCTCGCATCCCGCTGGTACGACGAGTTCCCCGGATGGAGGAGGCGACACTGGGCTGTGAAGATGTTGACATGTGTTGTGATAGGACTCCTTTTCCCAGTCTTCTCTGTGTGCTACCTGATAGCTCCCAAAAGCCCATTAGGGCTGTTTATCAGAAAGCCATTTATCAAATTTATCTGCCATACTGCATCCTACTTGACTTTTCTGTTCCTGCTGTTGCTTGCCTCTCAGCACATTGACAGGTCAGACTTCAAGATGCAGGGACCGCCACCAACCATCGTCGAGTGGATGATATTACCGTGGGTCCTGGGTAAATGTATTACTAAAGAAAATACAGTGAAAAGTGTTTTGACCCCTGTGGTTTTGCCAAGCATTCCTGAGGCAGGAAGATACAGTAGAGAATTTTGTCATGAATTATTGACCTACCAAAACAGGCAAATGGTCCATCTCCTTCAATATCTAGCAAGAGTAGTAGACAACTTGGGAAGAGTTTAAAAATCCAAACTGTTGCCACCTGATATATTACAGTGCGGGAAGACAAAAGATATCAGGGGCTCCTTCCTGTGATTAAGCAGTGCCCTGAAACATACATGTTGATATGATTTTTAATATCTATTTTCTCCAGGCCAGAAATTGTTCTGATTCTTATAACTGTCCATTTTTTTTCTTTGTTAGTCTACTTTTAAAAAAAGGTTCCTTTGCCATGTTAATTATTTTTCATGTATTAGAATGAGGCACAGTGTCATTTCTGGAGTGTTATCACTAATCTCAGTTACCTAAAGTATGCTTCTTTCTAATATGACAGACCCACCTACTGCAAATAGCGCTGACCAGCATATTCAAGTGAGTATTTTCATTAAAATACACATGCAGAGTATTTCTGCTGTGCAAAACCATTGATGAGAACTTGTCATTCAACTTCAAACAAAATATTTTACATCAGAAGGAATAAGAAAATCCCCTAGCATTTTTAAAATGGGGGGAAAAAGGCCCACTCTGTCCTGATAGTTTAAAATAAAAATTTCAGTCTGGGATTATTGAAAGCCTACTTTGTGTGGGCCATGTCAGCCTTAAATGCCTTCCTGTGTGATTGCTCAATCCTATTGGATTGGACTATCCTAGGTCCTCCTTACCTTTGGATGTCTCCATTGCTAGATGGTATGTCTCTTGCTGTGCCATGGTCTCTTCCCTGTTTCTTGTTTTAGGAACCAACACAAGCTGGACCAGGTCAGGCCAAAGATAGTTGGTCTTGACTGAAATGAAATTGTAGAAGGAGGGACTTAGTAGCCTTAACTGCAAGAATTTGAATTTGATATCTTCATTTAAATTGTCATCACATAGACAAGTACATGCACCAACTTTTCCGAAATGTTTTGGCAGGGTTTTGATACTGTTACCTCTCTCAGAGCTTCCCATTAAGATGCTGTTTCTCTTCACTTTTGCAATTTTTCCCAAACACCTGGCTTTTTTAGAGCAACCACACTGACAAGGCTTTTGGCATCATTGATCATATTTAATTTACAATGCAGTGTTGAATTTATAATACACTAATTGTCAGTGCCTGATATTCCAGAGAATGAGTCAGTGGCTTTTCCTCTATATGTTCCTGGGTAGAGCATTGCAGGAAGCTGGAGGCAGAGCTACATCTGTCTTTCACTTAAGCAAACAAGCATGCATGATTGAAAACCCTGTGTACACTTACTTGTGGGGAACCTCTCAGAAGGACCTGCCTTCCACAGATGAACTGCTTTCTGAGATTTCCCCATGATAGCACAGCATAAAACAGTCCTCACCACCAGCCTTCATTGTAAGGTGTGTTGTCCTTTGCTGGGTAAACATTCAAAAAGCCAATATCTAGTATTATTGCAAAGGAATTAATCAATCTGGCAGACTGCTTAGAATGACGTTTCCTTCAGACAAATCAGACTGACTTCAGTGGATGAGATTCACAGTTAAATATTAAAAAAAATTTCCTCCAGTAAATTTTCCCAGTTTTTTACCATCGAGAAATAAGAAACCAATATAAAAATCATTAGTTTGATACATTACTTCCTTAGAAATAAATGCTACAATGCTGAGGAGGAGCAGGGGGGGTCTTCTGTGCTGTCCCGTGCCCAGAGGAGATATTAGTCTGCCCTTCCAAAATAGCAGGTTGTCAGTATCTATCCAGCTTTCACAGTATCCTGAGGCTGAAGGATAATAAGAACAAATGCATAGCTGACACATACACCTTGACACACCAAAGGGGGTTTTATCATGAACCTATCTTTTTAAAGAAAGAAATTAGAGCCCAGAGAAAAAGGCACCGTTTCAGAAGGGCAAGGGCTAGTTTCAGCTAAAGGCAGTCCTCAAATTTTGGTGACTAACTGCTTTCCAGAAAATGTGCAGTGGGAAGAGGAAGAACCTCCATTGCCCTCAACCTCTGACACTGTTGTTTACTCAGGAAAGGTTTAAGTAACTCAGCATCCCAAAGCACTTGTTTGAAGAAACCATTAACCCTGAGAATTATGACTATCAAGATGACTATCATTTCTAAAAACAGCATTATTATTTGCAGTATAGACTCATATGGCCAGATTATGCCAGTACTGCCTGTGCTGAATAAGCCCTTCCTCTGTAAGCAGTACATGTCAAGTCAAGGGAACTGCTTGCATAAACAAATATTCATGAGCATGAATAAAGATCAATAGGATAGTGGTCAAATAGCTTGTGGTTAATCTAGACTATAAAGTTCAGAGAAACTCTGCCTTCCAAAATCTCTTGAGTCTAAAATGATGTATTTTACACACTGATCTCTAGTGGTTCCTAACTAGTGGCTTCCTGTAGTTCCAGTTTCACGTTTGCTGGGTTCCACTTTCAGACTTGGGTTGATGTAGTGCCTTAGCCCACCCAAATGATAAGGCCCCAGATTCACCCATCATCATCTCAGGCAATTCATTAGGTACCCAAGTTCCCTCTGTCATTGAAGGAGGCAGACACACATCTTCACAGAACACTTCAGCTCACAGCGTGTGATGAATGTGTCTATTTCAGCTTTGTTTTTTTTTTTAAAGGAATGAGTCTCAGCCAAAACCTGCTGTTTTTTTATTCACATACATACAAACTGTGGTCTAGTCATCTTTTAATAAATGAAATAGTTTTATTAAGTCCTTATTAATAAGCTAAGGTTAGTTTCCAGGCCACAATTTAGTCTGTCATCTCTTCAAACTATACAGTTATGCAGTATCCTTAAAAAGAATAAATGCAGCACTCTTGAATTATACAAGGGAGCCTAAATCTGAGGTACATAGATATATCTTTGCATTTTCTGGATGTAGACGAAAAATGTTGACGTCTGAGAAAAAACTAATGTGGCTCTGGGGTTATAGTTTTCCTCTGAAATTGGAAACATGACCAAGTAAACCCTTTTCCCAAAGCAAAGGTTATCCTGGAGCAGCTACAGCATGTCAAAACTATTAACATCTTAAACAATAGAATTCTTTGTTTGTCTTTCTCTTCATTCAAATAGCTCTGCATGCAGTTTGCATTTGAATACCTACCTCCCTTAAAATGAAGAGGGGAAGAGGAGCTCTTCTTTCCAGGCTTCTCATTGACATGAATTTCAGCATAGAATCATAGAATCATTTAGGTTGGAAAGGGCCTTTAAGATCATCAAGTACAATCGTTAACCTAACACTGCCAAGTCCACCACTAAACCATGTCCCTAAGCACCACGTCTACACGTCTTTTAAATACCTCCAGGGATGGTGACTCCACCACTTCCCTGGGCAGCATGCTCCAGTGCTTGGCAACCCTTTCAGTGAAGAAAGTTTTCCTAATATACAGTCTAAACCTCCTCTGGCACAACTTGAGGCCATTTATTCTTGTCCCATCACTTGTTACTTGGGAGAAGAGACCAACACCCACCTCGCTAAAACCTCCTTGCAGTTCTCCCTTGAGCCTCTTTTTCTCCAGGCTAAACTACCCCAGTTCCCTCAGCTACTCCTCATAAGACTTGTTCTCCAGACCCCTCACCAGCTTTGTTGCTCTTCTTTGGACACGCTCCAGCACCTCAATGTCCTTCTTGTAGTGAGGGGCCCAAAACTGAACACAGTATTCGAGGTGCGGCCTCACCAGTGCCGAGTACAGGGG